TTAAGAGTAGAAGAGACTGGGTACGGTTGTGCCAGGGTAGTGACAGTCGCCATAATAGCTACATTATACGAATTTTGAGATAGGGTCCAAAGGAGAAAGATGAAGTATGTTTGTTCGAACAAGTTCCCACAATTGCTTTCAGTCAGTGCCTTACATTAACATGATCTGTTCTTGCTTTTAAAGAGTTAAAAGTAAGTTTTTATATTCAAATTCTTTTAATAACAACTGTTAATTGTATACAGATAGATCACTTTGTTTGTGATTTTGCTGTAAGTTGAATTTTCGTAGTTATTTACCAGCAATTAGTTTTTGCTTAGATAATTTAGCTCCCAATGATGACTTGTTTTCAAAAATGTACGTTGTGTACGGTTGTGACAAATTTGGTGGGTACGGTTGTGATATGTATTTCTTGTCCTTTATAGGTGAAGATTAAACAGATAAAAACATCTAACTTAACTTAACTAACAAAATATGAAAGAGAAAGGAAAGGCAAAATTTAATACAAGAAAAGAAAAATTCCCAAAGAATTCTTGTTTAAAAAATTATGTTTTATTATATTTTATTTATAAGCTTTGTTTAAATGTTAATGTTGTGTTGTGTAACATATTATTGTCATTAACGACAGTAAAAGTCGTTATAAACCATTTTGGTGTTTATATCTATTGTTTTTGAACATATTTTTAAGTCTGTCCCAACCGTCCGTCGGGTGTGGACGGTTGTGACACTCACCTTTCTCTTGTATGATTTGATTTTATAACCGACCCATCGTATTTAAGGATAGTATTTCAGTTTTTTTATGTGAACAAATGTTCAAATTATCATTTGATTTACTTTTATCCCAGCTCAATGGTAAATTAAGAAAATTATTGCTGATAAAAAAGTGGCCCAACCGTACCCAATCCGTTCTAATATTTTTTTAATAATTAGTTTACTAGTTGAATAATATAGAAGGCACAAAAATATTAAGTTTTTTACAGAAAAGAAAGTTTTACATAGGATTTTTTTTAGATAGGACATATTTTAAGGGTTTTATTTTACCCTTACGGTAAAGATTTCTCACAAATTAAAATAAAATCTAAAAATAAAAATAAATATTTATTCATGATAATTATATACTTTTTCCAAACAATTCAAATAAAATCCACACACTTTTTTCCTTTTTCTGACAAACTAATTTATTAGATCAGTTATATCTGATGATTCACTTTAGATTTTTTGAAGTTTTACTTTTACGAAAAATATGGTAGGTTTTTATTAATTTTTACTTACCTAGCCTTACATGGCCAAGGATCTAGTATAATTTATACAGAGGATATGGTGATAGATAGCCCATGTACTTTTATAAATTATTATTGAATAGGCTCAGTTTTAGTTAGTTTTTTTTACGGATTTTACTACTAATGCTACTTTTCTTAATTTTATTGACCATTGCTTGGCATTTTTGCTTGCATTGTTTAATACAATTTAATGCATTTTTTTCAATTGTAGTAACTTGATATTGACATCTGCCCAACAGAATAAGTTTTCCAAAATAAGGAAAATGAAATAAATATTTGGTAAAAATATTAGGATTAATTTAAAATGAGAATAAGATTTTGTTTTTTTTTGGAATTAGTTATAACAACAATCGAAGTTTTAATATATTTTTAAATCAAAATACAATGTTTTTGCTTGCAAAACATCTACAATTCAGAGTAATATTTGCCATCCCCTTTTTCTGTCCAAATTTGTAGATTCATCTAAAAAACGGAAATATCTAAATAAATTTGGACAGAGAAGATCAATGCTACTCTAAATTATTGTACATGTTTGGCAAATGTATAGGAAGTTCGGTGCATCTACCCTATTCCTTATATACTTTGTAATTACATAAATACCCCCTTAAGGTATCAAGAATCGAACCTAGGACAGTTACCATTTTGCTAACTCGGCAAACAGATATTTAATTGTCTTCTATATTTAAAATTACCTTTTGGTGAGAATTAAAACGTGGATTTAATTACAGGATCAAGGAATAATCGCCAAAATTATATATTCAAGGAATGATATTCAATGGTGAATATATTTTAGGGCGAGTGAAATTAGTGTCATATATAATTATTAATATTGGTCCCTTAATGAATAGAAAGCAAGCTAATTTAATTTTGCATGTCTGCGATATTTGATTCACGTTTTTTATCATATTTACAATTTTATTTTTAATATATAAATTCTGTGGGTTTAATCAATAGATTTTTGCAACATGTGTATTTTAGAGAGTATGAAGTATAAACAACAAAGTATTTTAGAGAGTATGAATATTATTCCTGGAAGATAGGATATAGAATGTTGCCAAAGTGGTAGTCTTAAATATATTTGAAAATCATCAATAAATGTAAATAACATCAAATATTGAAAGGTAACTTAGAAAAGTGTATGCCAATTTTTTACAATATGCATTCTTCATTTGAACAAATAAAATTAGTAAATCAAACAATTAAATATAAACGTTATGACATATAAAGAATAATATAATCTATTTTTATTATATTATATAACAAGAATTGTGTAGGCGCACAAACAAATTATTGTGTTTTCCTTAACACCAAATTATCGTGAACAAATTCAATAATTACATGACTAGGCTCTCTATTTAGCGTGTTAATAATTTACAAATATTTTAGTTTACTTTTATTTAAAAACTTAAAATACATAAAAAAATTAAATCGATATATTTTCCAAACTCGAATTCTATACTATGTAATAAATTATTATTTTATTAATAATTTTTTTGTTCCATTTTCACCGATAATATTTATCTAAAATCTTTAGTGTGGATTTTTTATACATGACCGTGGATGTCACATCTTGAATAATTAAGCTCTGTTGCCCACACATTGTAACTGTTTGAAAACATTATTTTATTGATTAGGCTCACAAAATATACACAATATGTGACAATATTATCTATTGACTAATAAAGTTTGCTATGCCTTATGTTTGCAATCAACAAAAGGTTGGGACAATAGAATAGTTGACCCGGAGGAAGTTAAATCGATATATAGACTGACAAAAATTATAATTTTTGGTTATATATTTTTTGGGATATTTAGTGATAAAGTGGCGGATTAAATCTTATTTAGTTTAAGCGTTTTGCCATGTTTTAGATAAATTCTAGTTGAAGAACACTTTTTTTGTGATCTTTATAATATTTACTATCATACATACAAAAAATATGATTATTATTATTAGATTATCTTTCGAGAGACACACTATTATTTTTATATGACTTATCGCAAACAAAGAGAAAATATTGTTCGGTTTTCAAAACTAAGCAATAATGATAAAATTTCGTTAGATGTATAATTTAAAGGTAGACATATCTTGAGTAAAAAAAAGCTAAATATACTATAAGTTATATTCTGAGATTATTTCTGAAAATTTTTACTATTGTTTTCTACTTTTTTTTGACTTCATTTTTTTCACTTTTGTCATTAACCTGTTAACCGGGCGTGTGCTGTCTCTATAATTTTATATGTTTATATTTTGTTGATACGAAATGAAAAAATAATTATAAAATATATATTGATTATTAATATTTTTGAAGTACAAAAAAGCACACAAGTACAAGTTTAATAGTCGATCAAAAATATACGCCTCCTGCCTGGCTAACAGGTTATTTTGTTTTTAGTTTCCCGCACTATTTTTTTACTTTCCGGATACCATTTTGCCATTATTTCTGTTTATTTTATTTTCTTCATACTAATATTATTTATTTATACCATCAGTAAGTAATCTTTAATAGTTTTAGAAAATGATAATATTGTTTCATCATATTTATTTATCTGTTTTTCCTATTTGCAAAATGATTTAGTTTAAAATAGACTTTTAATCTTGGTTGATTGATGATTGAATTTTTGCCAGAGCGAATATTGTTCTGATATCTTCACCGAGATTTTATACTAAAAAAAGTATAGTAGAAGATTATTTTGTATTTCCTGATTATTTAATAATAGATTTTTTAATATTCAATCAATGTGGATAATTTAAATAATTCCGAAATCAATACATATTAGGTTTACCTAATGCCTAATATATATTAGGTTGCACTATACACAATGTTTATACAAAATTATGTTTTTACACTATGAGGCAGATTCTGCCGCATAACAAAAAAATGTTATGGCAAGGCCATATTATGAAGAATTTTTCATACTAAATATTGAAAAAGCCATGGTGCAGTCAGGGTACTTCTCAGGTTGTCAGATGCAAAACTCAACCTAAAAACCCCACAAATGTCAAAAAACGATCTTAGATACAGGGTGTTTCCGACACTGCTTCATAACATATGAGTCACGTTGCAGTTTATGCGTAGAATGCCTGAATCCATAGCAAATACATGACATTTTGACAGTATTCAGTATGATTCACTTCCAGCCTAATGTTTGGAAGTTGGAGCCTTGCCGGTTCCTATATTTTATTTTTGAAATAATAAAAATATCTGCTAAATTTTTAGATTTCCAAATGACTAGCAAATAATATTTGTGTATTTTTTTTGCAGTAATTTTGATAGAAGACATGCGAGATGAAGTCCCAGGGTGGATTGCAAGTTCTCTTAAGCAGGCAGAGGAATCTCTGAACGGGCGATTGCGTATCAACGACGAAACCGTAATTGTAATGAGAGATGGGGAGAAAGAAAGCATGGCTATGCGTAAGTGAATTTTAATTATTTTGCTTTGTTATTCGAATTATTTATTTTAATTATTTCAATTATTTTGAAAATTCACTAAAACTCTACTTTAATAATATTTAGTTTCAGTAAATAAATAATTTGTTTAGGATGTTAATTATTATATAGTTATACAAAAGTGGGTTCTCTACAAACTTTTAAAAAAATTGAAAAAATATAAAACTAACAATGGTATTAATAATCTATATTGTTGAGAAGCAAATTCGTAATAGGCCTAAAATTTTTGGCTAAATCTAATCATGTTGATTATTACGATCAAAATCAATCTATTATGCACTTTCAAGAGCAAGGTAAATTATATTCAGTATTGTTTAATTTATTAAGCATTGCAATAAGCATTTTGCTTTTCTTTTCATTTGTATATATTTATTGTTAAATCAAAAGACATGGCAAAACAACATTATTGTGATTGCCAAATTAGCCATTATTGACTTGACAAATAAACTATAAAAAGAAGAGGAGAGGGATCTACCTACCATCGATATCTCACAAACAAGTAAAGGAAAGAATTTTTTCACAACAATATTTGAAAGTAGAGAAAAAAATATATATAACGAGCTATCACCTTTATTCTTGCGATATCGCTATGGGGTGATAAACGGCAATGTTTGAAAATCCATAGCAAAAGTATTTTATTTCGTGTTTAGTTTTTTGGTCGTGAGCTTTGTTGTTTTGTTTGCGAGACCTTAATTTAATTATTAGATCTACCTTATATAAATATTTCATAAAATGTATTGTTATTTGTAAGATTTAACCATTTTTTAAATAACCTCTATAAAAGCTTACCCGTGGCTGGGATAAAAATGACCAACTGAACCTTTATCTTGGCAAAGGTGTAAACAATGAAAAATAGTGAATAAAAAAGTAAATTAAATTAAAAATTTTTTACAAAAGATAAATTAAATTAATAGTTTCTCCAACTCTGCTAATGAATATTTCTGCCAAAATACCAGATCAAGTTACAGATATACCTACAGTGTTATCTCTGTAAAATATGTACCCAAAATTTATATTTGCATTATATTTTGCATTGGTTGATTAATGTAACTATTATTAAAGTAAAATCTCTTTAAAAATAAGAATATAACTTTAAAAATAATAATATTAGATCTATTTGCCACCTGGCCATCATATTTTACCCCGCCTATGGGGTTGAAAAACAGCAATTAAAACACATTTCTACAATGATGAATTAGAATGAACATAGTCAGAGTTGTTTGTTTGATATATTTTATTTGTTGTGATATAATTTGATTTTTGCAATATAATTGTTTGCACTATTATAAATTAACTATATATTGAAAACTTTTAATACAAGAGTTTATAACTCAGCGGCGATTTAATCCAGAATTATTTTTAAAATTATTGTTCAGTCGAATATTTTTAAAATATAATAAGGTAGTTGATTTAGTGAGCTAAAAACATGTCACTATATCAACTGCTTTATCACTAATTCAACTGTTTAATAATTGTATTAATTTTCAATTATTAGTATGCGCAGCAATGGCGAAAGGAATCAGTTTAACATTAGATTTAACCTGGACGGGATGGCATCAAGCTCACGTGATGTCCGATCAGGCCGGTGTACCATATTACAGAGCTGATATTTCATTACAGCCCTTTGTGAGAGTTCTTGACGATTATCTAATGGAAAGATCGGGGAGTGACGCTGCTCTAATATTTCAAGATGAAAGCGGTACGTCGAAAACCTATTTAATTTATTTCAATAAAAACGGTTTTTTATAAGATTCATTATTATAGAATTAAATCAAGGATTGTATTATTTGGTGTCGACATCTGTTCTACGAGTTATAGTTCTAGACAATTTAGACAAAGATTCAATTAGAAGCTTATTGAATATAAGGCCAACCCCATCGTATTATGCGATATTTGCTACTACGCCTAATATGATTAAATTATTTAAAACGGTATGTTAAGCTTGAATCATGTCTTATAAATTTTAATATTAATACTTACGATTATTTAATATAGGCCGTTGTAAGTGATGTAGCTAATAGACTGGATCGATGGAATCTCGTTTTTATGGATTTTAAATCATCACAATTTGATTATAAAGATTTCTATAACATCAGTTTAATTACATTACAAAACCAAATATGCTGCAAATTACTTCATATTGAAGGTGATTGTACTTGTCCAGAAGATTTCAAGGTGAATATTATTGATAATAACTATTGTTGATGTCATACATTCACATTACAAAATCAAGCATTCCACTTTGATGAAGAATTGTGGGCTTTGATGAAGAAAGTTTTATCCGCAAATGAATGTCGGTTATCGATGACAGGTTTTTTTATTTTTTGTTAGTCAATATTTTATATACAGGTAACCCCCGCGTAACACGGTACTTCTATAACACGGATTCGCTCTAACACGGTTTCAGAATTGAGCAAAACCCTAATAAAATAAAAATTATAGTAAAATCTATGCAAATCAAACTTTCTTTAATCTAAAAATAGTAAAATCACAGTACAATAGCTCAATAAATATGTGAAACTAATGCAAAAATAACTAATATTTGAGACTTTTTATTCGAGTACGTTTTATAGATAAATTCTAGGGTTACCCGAACAATTAGTCAATTAGTCTTAAACAAAGATCCTTTAAATAAAATGAGCTTAAAATTTTAATGAAGTTAATTATTTGCATGTGTTAATATATGAATATCTTTTCGCTAAAAGTAACTTATCGGAAATATATATTTTTTTTTTGCAAAAAATAATGCAAAGATCTGAAGCTAGTACAGAAAACTGATCAGAGGATGAGGATATCTTGCAAAAAAGGATCGTGTTGGATAGCACTTACCAGTTAATTATGACAAAAAAAAAATCCAATAATATATATTACTTCTTAAAAAAATTATTGTTTTTTTGAATTCTTGGAACGTAACTTCTCTTTTTGTACTAGTTCCTTGTCCCGTATAACACGCTACTTTTTCGTAAAGTAACCCCCGCATAGGTTACCTGTATTTTATTATTTAAGGATCCGCTTTATATCATCAATCAGTTATTGCTTATCAGAGCCAATACTATCATTGAATACCCATGCGCAGACAGTTTTATCCCTTTCCACTCGGATGCCGCCGCTCCGGCGGCAAAATTCATATAAATCTCGGAATTCGCGAGTGGAAAGGGTTAATATTTGTATATTGCATGGCATAATAATGTTTGCACAATTTTGATTTTAAATATATTATATATAATATTTTCTGGACATCTTCAAATATTTCTTTTTCTATTTTTATTATCAGATCCAGCGCGCCTTTCTCGGTCTCTTGTTTTCGGTACTAGCCCGAAGTATTTCAATGCTTCCAAATGGTGGAAGTGAACTTACTACTGTAATAACGTGCGACAATGTAGAGACAGGAGATGATTTTAAAAATAGCACCAGATATGAATTACTAGGAAAAGTAACAAGTGAAGTAAATGACGACATTGGTCTTGTCATGTACGGAGACCAATTTACTATCACTTATGAAATGATGTGGGATGTCAGTGTTGTCAACGAAACAGACGATCTTGATCCAATTGCCAATTGGACGCTGACCTATAATTTAAATATGCTGCCGGATAAACAGCTTATTTCGACTAAAAGATTTTTTAGGATAGGAACAGCACAGGTAATAAAACTTATTTGAATAAACGCATTTAATGAAATGCAACTTTATGCACATTTTGTCTGTTTTAATTAATTAATTAATTTCTATCTTTGCTTTAGGCTATCCCGTGGGCATACAGAGTGACCAATCCAGAGACTGGTGCAATAGTGAAAAATCCGGATGGCACCGATAAATGGGAAGGATATTGCATCGATCTTATTGAAAAACTATCGGTTGACATGAATTTTGATTACGAATTAGTTGTTCCGAAAGATAATTCATTTGGTGTTCGTGCCCGGGATGGCACTTGGGACGGCTTGGTGGGAGATTTGGCTTCTGGGGTAAGATATAATACAATCATTACTATAATTTGAACATCCATTTACCTAAAAACCAGTACAAGTTTATTATTAAAATTTTAAAAGTGATTATATCAAAATATATTTAATTACTTTTATTAGACTTTTAACTGGTGTTTGTTAATATTAGGGTTTATACAAAAACCTATATTTCAGAAAACCAGTTTCTGAATTTTAATTTTACTAAGAAACCGGTTTTAACCGGTTTTCGAATTTTATATAGAAAATAAATTTTTGCTCGAATATTCTGTAATTTATCCGCAAATTTAGTGTAATTTAGAGCAGTATTTGACTGAATTTATTTATTGTTCAACTTTATAGATAGTAAACAAAATTATTTTAATTTTAATTAGTAGAACTAAAAAATAATAGTTTATGTGGACTTTGAACTTTGAAAATAATTATGCGTTATTCTTGCCATTTTCACATATAAGAATAAAAATATTTTTATTATAGTAAAAGGAAAGTTTTCGAATAAATTAAAATAATACATTTTTAAATTAAAAAAATTCATTAAATTAAAAAAAAAATGTTGGATACATGTTGATATATACTTGTTAATATCAATTTTAGTTTTAAAAACAATTAAGCTAAACTTGGGTATTGTCTGTTCCGAGCAATTTTAATTAATTAATTTTAAACATTTGTTTTTTTGTTTAATAAAATATGATTTAAAAAAACTTAGAACGTCTATCGAATTGCTACTTAGACGTGCCCTTTGTTTACTCGCAATATTTCCTGAAATAGAAAATACTCTCATACTTGCGACTAAATTATTCTTAATTGTTTTTAAAGTCTGATATAATAATTCTAAGTTTTTTGTTCTTTAATTTGTGGCTTCTAGGGTTTAAAACTCTTTTTTTTTAAGTTTGAGTAGAGGAAGTTACTTCTTCAAGAAGAAGTCACACTGATTTAAATTAATATATACACTGCTGGTATAAAAATCTAAATTAATATATACAAAATTTTTCTGGGAACAATTGCAGACTGATAAGATATCAAATGTTATTGAACTGATATGATTTCAAAAATCAAAACGCTTTCATCTATCTTTTATATTTGGCTATATTTGTCATTTTCCATTTATACAGTGAAAACCGATTTTTTCCACTAAAAAACCGGTTTTCGATTTTTATAATTTTCGCCAAAACACCGGTTTTTAAAACCGGTTTTTGAAAACCGACAAACCCTAGTTAATATGTGGTGATTTAATTAGAATCCCAATTATTGTAGGGGAACATTTTATTTGTTGTGATATCTATTTCAGAAATATTTAATCATTTTAATTTAATTTCTTAGGAAACTGATATGGTAGTAGCTTCTCTTACGATGACTTCCGAGCGCGAAGAGGTAATAGATTTCGTGGCGCCCTACTTTGAGCAATCAGGAATATTGATCGGTAAGTGGTTGATAGAAATCTAGCTTCGTTTCATAAATTGTCAATAAAGCAGTCATTACTTTTATTGAAAACTTTCGATGGCTTTGCAGATTAGGAAAACTGCGTTTTGGGCATTTTATGAAACTCATTGTCAGTTGTTCTAGCACAATTAGTATTTGAATGACATTGATATAATCATTTTCTGGCCCTTTCTTTCTACCTTTAGTGTACAAATACTACTATAAGTATAGAACAATTTTTAAGTGATTAATAAACACAATTTCTTTTCTTTTTATTATTTTATTTTTACTGTAGGAAATTTCAAAAATAATATTTTCGATTATATGTTGCATACGGTGCCGTCGCCTTACATTGTAAGTGCTTTTCGTGGCTTTGTTTTTCGTTCTTTGTTTCATCTCACGTTGATGACTTATGAACTAAAACATTTGTTATTTATTTATTTAAATATTCAATATTGAAATAAATGCACCGCAATAAGAAAAACAAGGGTGAATCACTGTTTCTCAAACTACCCTACTTCTACTTATATAAAATTCCACAAATCAAATAAAAGAACTAGTGGTGAATGGCATCGTGCCTTAAGGCAAATCCGTACTATAATAATATAATCGAAGAATATTTAATGTTGTCAAATATATTATTATAAATACTGGAACTTTCATCATTTGTATTTTATAGACAAAATATAAAAGCTTATAAATTAGACGATAATGTTTATATAAGTTCACATGAAAAGTAAATAAACAAAACTTAATGATCCCCTTTGAATATGAGTTAGAATGAAGAATCTTTCCTCATAATTCTAAGAGTTATATAAACTGAATTGCAAAGTTAAAATTATTTATTTTAAGTATTTCAGCTAGAATTAAAATTGAAATCAAAATTATTTTCGATATATTTTTTTTTGTAAATTAAAAAAAAATAATTTTTTTTTGCTTTTCCCAACAACAATTGTTTTATCCACACAAGTAAAAAGTTGTTTGAATCATTGAAATCGAATGCTTCATTTTCTCAAAAGCTGCTTTTTTTTTTACACATTTAGCTTCGTATCTTCAAAAACTGTCTTTGCAAAAAACTAATCACTACTTCTCCCCATCATTACAAATGGAATGTTTTTTGAAAAACTAATTAGCACTAATCCCCATTAGTAGGAATCGATTGCTTTTTCAATCACTCAAATCGGTTGAGCGGTACTACCGAAAACGTCGACGAAAAATTGTATCCACACGTACATACACACACGCACACACGTCAATTTTTTGCTGAGGTATGCCAAAATATTTAGAAACCTCTGGAACATGAAATTAGGCAAAAATCATCATTTTCGATTTTTGGCCCATTACTATAACTTACCCTACGGGAAGTTAACTAGGTACATCCAATAATACCTGCATTCATTTATATATATATATATAATATAAAATATTTTTTATAATTACAAAATATTATTGTTTGTTCCAAAATGTGGGAAGTCTAATATTACTTATAAGACACGCATTAATACTAAATAAACACTCAAATCACACATTACATTGAGAAATTTGAAAAATTGGGATAGTGTTTTTACATGCATTATTTCGGATTTAATACCAGCAAATAATATTTAAAGTATGCTAATAAAATTCACACTGACAATGAATGTTGCTATTAAGAAATATGCTATTTTAAACATAATAACAATGTCCTTGTAAAATGGTATAAAGCTTCTGCGCTGGATGGCACGATGTCCTGATTTTTTTATGTCATGCTTAGGGGGCGTCCATTAATCACGTGAGCGAGTTTTTAAGGATTTTTGGACCCTCCCTCCTCCTTGGTGATACACGGTGATATTCAAAATTACCCCCCCCCCCTTCCTCCACCAAACATCACGTGTATTTTTCGTTACATGATAAAACTGTATTTTTTTTTTTTTGAAAATGCTTGATTTTTTTTAAAAATCAGTTAAAAAATAAATACACGTTATATCTTACTATACCCCTCCCTCCCCCACGTGATATTTTGTGATTTTTTGTCAAACCCCCCCTCTCCCTAAAAATCTCACGTGATTAATGGACGCCCCTTACATAGAAATAGGAAAGCATACTGCAATCCACCACTAGTTTATAAAACCATTTTTATTAATTGAACATTTTGAAAATGATAGTATGTAATCTAAACTAGTGATGAGAAAACCTGTGCGACAAACTTCGCTTTTCAAGTTCATGACTGTGCTAAGATTAGAAGTGTGGCTAAGTATTGTGGGTGCTCTCGTGTTTACTGCTATTATGATATGGTTCCTGGACAAATATTCACCATATAGTGCCAGAAATAATAAACAAGCGTATCCTTATCCGTGCAGGTAAATGAAATGGATAAAAATTTATAATATTAAGTATTTATAATAAAATGTATAATATTAAAAAAATGTGAAAATTTGCAAAATGTTCAAAATATTAAAATGTGAGCAAATCAGTTTGATAAAATTTACTAGACAAACTGATTACTTAACAAAAAACTTGCAGTTTGGAAATTAAAAGTGCACTATATAATTACTACACATTTTATTCGATACTGCCAGGCACTTATTTCAGTTTATAAAATTGAGTCATTTACTTCTTCATAATATTATTATTGCAGTTACTATAAATTCTTTATTATATTTATATTATTTTACATTTATCAGGGATTTCACATTAAAAGAAAGTTTTTGGTTTGCACTGACGTCGTTTACACCGCAAGGAGGAGGTGAAGCACCAAAATCTCTTTCGGCACGAACATTGGTTGCTGCTTATTGGTTATTCGTAGTACTTATGTTGGCTACTTTTACCGCAAATTTGGCTGCCTTTTTAACGGTCGAGAGAATGCAGGTAAAATTTATAATTGAAATAAGACTAAAAAATTAATTACCTGACTGAAGCTTTTATAGGGTTCGTTTAATTTTGAACTATGTATTTCGAGATTTATAAATGCTTCGTCAATGTTAACATATTTCATATACTATTGGTTTATAACTTATATCTCAAGTTGTATTTTTATATTCGAAATTTGCGAAATATTTTTTATCTGCGTGAATGATATATTGTTATATTGTTAGGTTACCCTGATTGTAAGATTTGAATGAAAATATCCATATTATTCAGTATGAAGTTAGCAATAAATACTAGAAAAATAGATCCAAATTTACTAAATCTTTGTGTTGTGAATCAATATATGCGTAGGGTTGAGCGAGGCTCAAAGGTCGGCGGGCAAAAGGTTCCTCCACCGATATTTTAAAAAACAGTAAAATTAATTTTTTTTTACCAACAATATTTGATAAAGGGAAGAAATTTCATAATCATCGAGGGAAAAACATGTATAACTAAAGTAAAGCGCAACAAAGGAACAAGTGAAGTGATGCACTTTTAACAGATTGGTCAAATAATCAGATTTTTTACAAAAATTAAAACGAGTTGATTTTTTTCATGTATAACAATCACCTTAATTCTTACGACGTTGCTTTCGGGAGAAAAACGGCAGTGTTTGAAAATCCATAACAAAAGTATTTTCTTTCGTTGTTATTTGTTTTGTTTGTGAGCACTGTTGTTTAGTTTACGGAACCTTGATACAATTTTTAGGTATACGTTATTTAATTGTTTTATAAGATGTATTGTTGATTTTCAGTTAAATTCAACAGTTTTTTTATATAACCTCTATAAAAGCTTACATTCTTGGGCTAAAAAGAACCACTTGAATTTTTCTACTGACAAAGGTCTAAACCATTGCTTTTTAAACTATGGGTTGCCCAAATTATGAGGTTGCGAGGGATCTTAATGTCAAAAATATATATCATTTTATAACATCAGGTCTAGATTTTTGTATGATTTAAAACGAATTCTAAACTTACTTATGTATATATATAATAAATCATCTAAAAATAATAATTTCTTTTTTTTTATATTTATGTGGGGTCGTCAACAAAACTTGCAATTATAAATGGAGTCGTCAAGAAACTCCCAATCTTAAATGTGGTCGCAAATGACAAAAGTATAAGAAGCCCTGGTCTAAACACTAAAAAATAGTTAATAAAAAAGAAATTATGTTAAAAAAAGCAATTTTACAAGATATAAATTAAATAAATAGCTATTTCAACTTTGCTGAAAAATATATGTGACAAAATACCCGATCAAGGTTATTTACAGTGTTATCTCTAAAAAATGCACCCATAAAATTTATATGATGCATTAGTTGAATAACGTAGCTATTAATATGTAAAATTCCTTTAAAATTAAAATAAGACAATGGTCCTGTTTATCCCATGATGGTCTCATTTTACCCCGGTTATGGGGTAAATCGGACCATGTGACAAATTTTTGAAAAACAGCTAGAAGTTTTTCTATAATGAAGGATTTGCTTGGAGTTTTACTAAACACAGTCAGATAGTTGTTTGTTGGTAATTTTTAGTTGTGACATCATTGGTTTGGTTTTAACAATATATACTTGCTCAAAGATGAATTAGACCTTTGTGCACTGCTCTGTCCTATAATTAATTTATCAGAGAAATTTAAATCCTGGTGCTTCTAAACAACTAAATAATGCGCTATATTAAATAATTAATTTATTTACGTTAGTCTTAGATTTAGTATATAAGTCAGGTCAATTAAAAGCTTTTTTCTACAGTAAAAAAATGCATATTCCCCATTCGATGCGTCGCACGCCATCATAAAGCATTCGTGTCTCATATATTCCAGGCGCCCGTTCAGTCATTGGAACAACTGGCCAGACAATCCAGGATTAATTACACCGTCGTTGCGAATTCAGACACACATCGCTATTTCATCAACATGAAGTTCGCAGAGGACACATTGTACCGGTACTGTATAAAACACAGCAGGGTTTTGTTGCAAACATATACAACTGTTAGGGTTGTCGAACCCTTTTCTTCAATTAATAGGCAATTGTGGGAAATCATGAAAAACAGTTACTAATTACAGTTAATTTTACTATAATGAGGCTTTAACTTTTAAATAATAAGTGCTTTCGAATTGCATTTTCAAGTTTGCACTTTTAACAGATTGGTGCAAATAATCATTTTTTTTACAAATTTTAAGAGTTGATTTTTTGGGAATTATGTGCTTTATAAGAAATTTTATCGAGTTAGTGATATTTAGAAACAATTTTGGAATGAGAACAATGTTCGTATTAATAATTAATAATATTTCCGTAATTATTTAGAATACATTAATTACATTAGAACCTATTTTTTTGTTGGAAGTGGTTTTTGAAAGAATTCATTTATAAATGTACAAAATAATTCTACATGAAGATAATATATGTTACAAAATAATGAAAAAAGAAGAATTTCTTGGAAAAAAATCGAAAATTCTTGAAATATTCCCAAATTCTTTAAAGTCCTACAATTTATGCAATTAATTGTATAAGTTGTACAATAAGGGAAAACTCCAACATTTAAGTATACTCCCCAAATTATAGGCATCACAAATTTTTATATCAAATATCAGTACCTTTGATAATTAATAATTGAGTACTAAAAAACTAAGTTAATAATCAGCTTTAATAATAATTAAAAAATCTTGCGTAATTTTTTTGACGATAATTTATCAATGCATAAAATAATCCAAAATTTAATTAAAAGAAACATTTCTTGATCATTTTCCAAATATTACTATTAACGGAATCCGTCAACAATTAAAGAAATACCTAAAAAATAAGAGCATCACAAATTTTAATATCAGATGTTAGTAACTTTGATAAATAATAATTGAGTACTAAAATATATTAATACCTAATAATTTCTATTGATGATTTAAAAACTTAGCATAATTTTTTTGTCAAGTAGTTTTTAAAAGAATTTAAAGAAATAATTCTAAATTCGTACCAAATAATAAAAAAAGAAAATTTTCTTTTTCAAAATATTATTAATAAGCGATTATTTATATAAGCTGAACAAAGAATCCCACAATATTTTAAAAGAACACCCCGAATATTATCATAAATTTTACATTTCATATTTGTTCATCAGATATCAATTACTGTCATAATCAATAATTGAAGAATTACAGAGATGAATTTATTCTATTAATAATAAAAAACAACTAGCGTATTTTTTGCCAAGTGGTTTTTAAAAGAATTAATTTAAAAATGAATCAATGTACAAAATAATTTTAAATCCAAAGTACCAAATAAAAGAACAGTTTTTTGATGATTCTCTGAATATTTCAAAATGTTAGTAATAAGGTGACCATACATCCCGGTTTGGCCGGGACAGTCTTGGATTTCCACCTTGTGTCCCGGGTTTTCTAAAAGCAATATTTGTCCCGGATATCTTTTGTTTCGGATTGTCCCGGGTTTTCGAAAAGTATAGAATAAATTCAATCTTCGCACTTACTTGATAATAAAATTACAACTAACCATCAAATATCTGAAAATGATATGTACAACATGAAAAAGGCGGGTTAAAATAGCCTTTCACATTCTTAATTTTGAACTTCTATTTTTAATTCTACGAAAATTAACAATAAATATGGAAATGAACTTTTTGACTGTCTGGAATGAGTGCTAATTATTTTTAAATAATTATAAAGAGAATGTTTTGGCATTTAAAAAACCCTCCCTTCCACTGTCTGGAATGAGTGCTAATTATTTTTAAATAATTATAAAGAGAATGTTTTGGCATTTAAAAAACCCTCCATATCCCGACCCTGATTAGCATACCTAAAAATTACTGTCCCGGTTTTGACTTGAAAAAATATGCTCATCTTATTAGTAATAATGCGATTATTTGTATAAGCTGTACAAACTCGAGGAAAGCTCCCAAGATTTGAAGGAACTCCCAAAATTTTGCGTCATAAATTTTTACATAAGATACTAGCGATAATTTATAAAATAAAATATATCAATGTGAAAGATATCAGTGTGGACTTAGTAAGAACTTTTGTAACAATAAGGTTTTCATCTTTTTAGGGTTTGGAAAGAAATTACTCTAAACAGCACCAGTGACCAAACCCAGTATCGCGTTTGGGATTATCCAATCAAGGAACAATATGGCCACATTTTGATGGCCATCAATTCATCGATGCCCGTGGAAAACGCTACCGTCGGCTTCTTAAAAGTCAATCAACATGAAGACGCCGACTTCGCTTTCATTCACGACTCGGCGGAAATCAAGTGAGTTCTAATATTAGTACACAACCCACATGTAATGAATAGAGTGATAGTTGGTAGAGGATTTATTGAAAATAATAATACTGAAAGCCTCAAAGTAATCAATGCGATTTATAAATGTTTGATTTGAAAAATAAAACAAAATGTAATTCTCAACAAACATTTATTAACTGAAAAATTATAGTAGAAAAATGAATGGAGTACCGGTTACCTACCAGCTACTACTACATATTCTTGAATCTTTTTTTCACCATTTGGTATGGCCTATCTATTTTTCTTTTAAACTTTCTGCTTCCTTCTACGAGCCTGTATAGGTAATTAGAAAATATCAGCAATCTGATCTGGCATATTTTCGACAATATTACTATTAAACGATTTCTCCACCAGCTCTTCTGATTTATAAGTGCCTTCGCTTTCGCTAACCGTTTTATCTTATGCGTAGACATTACTTTTGGCTCGTGAACCGCATATAGATTATTGCTAGAGATGTCTGGAGTGTTGTTGCAAATAGAACAAAACGATCATTTATTTAATTATGACAGTTAGTCTTGAGCGTTAGCCAATTTTCGCCGATGTATCCCATTTTCTCGTAAATTTTCCTATATGAATATTACTATGATCATGATACACCAACCGGATTAGAACTAGATTTATTATATATTGCATGTGCAAAGGTCAGCTTTTCATTGATTGGAGATCTTGATTAAACTTACATAGACATACATTTAATTTCAATATAAACGTTTATATGTAAATTTTTTAAAATTTTTTTTTAATGACCTAATCGATAATCAAATATATTGTGATTGACATATACTACTTATATTTTAGTTTATGGACCGATTCTGCCGCATAACAGACCAATGTTATGGCAAGGCTATATTATGAAGAACTTCCCAATTCGTTCTAAATATTGACAAAAGCCATGTGGTTGCTGTGCAGTCAGGCATTTTTCTCAGTTTGTCAGATATAAAACCTAACCCACAAACCACACAAATGTCAAAAAACGATGTTAGATAACGGGGCCTTTCTGACTCTGCTTCATAACATACGAGTAACGTTGCAATTTACGTGTAAAACGCCTGAATGCACAGCAAATACATGATATTTTGGCAGTATTCAGTATGATTCAGTAGCTTAATGTATGCAAGTTGGAGCGTAACATGGCCTTGCCATAACATTGGTCTGTTGTGCGGCAGAATCGGCTCATTAATGATTGTATCAATACTTCTGACGATAAGTGATCTTATTAAGCGGCATCTTTTGACTGTTGGTTTTGAAGCATATTGGTGTTTATGGGCTTTTCCGTGATTAGGTCTCAATCATAGATCTCAAGTTGGATACCCTCCTCGGGCAGCTTGATGTCAACCAGGAGTGACATCATAGATAGCAAATGTTTCCAAGTGGAAATAACCCTTGTCTGTCATTAATAAAAAATCAATAAAAAATCACCTCTATTACAAAAATAATAATAATAAAATTCATCATATTGAGATATTGCAATCTACATGAACCTGCAAATTAAGTTAAGTCAAATCATCGCAGCGGCTTATGAGATCCTTGAGTTGTGATCAAATCTTTTTTTATTATTATTTTTGAACTGCAAATAAAACTTAAAGATTATATAAGCTGTTGTGCTGATTTGTCTTAATACTAGTCGGTTCTACAGATGGCAACCCAAACAGTTGTCACCTCTCGAAATATTATGACATTTTCTGTAATAGGGCGAATATTTTATTGATGCAGCAATGCCGGATCAGGGCATTGCTGGGATCAGGGTCATATAAGCTGTTGTGCTGTTTTGAATTAATACTAGTCGGTTCTACAGATGGCAACCCTAACAGTTGTCGCATCTCGAAATATTATGACATTTTCGGTAATAGGACGAATATTTTATTGATGCAGCAATGCCGGATCAGAAATATTTTTTAGTGAAAACCGATGTCACTACTGCTTAATTTAATAATTAACATATTGATATTGCTATCTATATTTCTAAGTGAAAACCATTATCACTACTGCTTGACATCAAACTACTCGAAGCTGGATCGATATCTGATTCAGGTCTAGCCGTTCTTGTCACTTTCCTACAATCAAATAATATAAAAAATATTGGTGTTTATGGCACACATGATCTAACTAAGATATATTTTTAAAGGTATATATATTTTTTTTTGATATTATGTAGGGGAAAGTCCCGTAACGCCGGACGGCACCAAGTATCCGACATTCTATTTAATACGTATTATTTAAGCGAGTATAAATTTTTTCATTTCAAAATACAAGTGAAAGGGGCACGGGGGCACACAGGTACAGGATCAAGCGTCAAGCCTCGTCTGTGACGCACACGGCCACGGCGAGAGCAAACCTTTCCTGTTTCAGGCGCAAAATCACGGCGTCACCTAAATATCAATGGAAGTAATTCTAGCATATTTATGCATTTACATTTGAGTGGTATGCAAAGATAAAAGTTGTACTTGATTGTTATCCGTAAAATGGTGAAATATTATTAGATCTTTTAACCAATTTTAGTAGGTGCATTAAGTCGTCCCTTAGTGCCGGACAGTAAACATATTGATATTTCTTGTGAGAATTTACGTAATTTATTTCAATTATTTAATTTTGTTCTGTATGAGTGCTAACGGTCACTACATGCACCCATTTTTGGTATTTCCTAGTCAAAGAATGAAAAGCTTATAATGAATGCACCAGCTGAGAGCATCGGTGTGGCCCAGCCAAAAGGGTGGATGAATAGTGACTTTTTTGCAATATCTAAGAATATTCGTCAAACACACATATGTGGAGACAGTGTAGATGGCTACATATGTGATCAATGTAGGTTATTTTGAAATGTCCGGTACTAGGTGCCACTGGTTAAAATCATATTCTTTTGATACCAAAGTTTGATTGATGGTATTAATTATTTTTTAGCAAAGATTGCAGTTTTGTTAAATTAGTTTGATTTCTAACTTTGTTATATAACATAAATCATAATTTAATAAACATTTCGTAAATTATTTTTTATTTATTTATAAATAACCTTAGGTGTCCGCCACTTGGGAACTTCCCCCTACTTATTATAATAAAATTATCAACCTATTCGATTTTCACCTGTTTCATATTTTCTACACGAATATGGTTTTAAACCTAATTGGTGCTAGTATGACTATTAAGTATATATAATTGAATTAACTATACTTTTCATTTACATATTTATTTTTTAAATATACCAATATTAAGCGTTGCTTCCAAATGAACGTTCTTAGTACATGTATGCATGCAAAATGCTACTTCTGTCATATTCAAATCTAATTTACATACGTCGTAAAGTTATTCGTTATTGTGTGCAGCACGCACTAGACTAATTATGCCTTTATTAATCTATTATGCGATAATTACGGGTCTCGATAAATTCATGGCGTCGCCTCGTGTCAGTATATTAATCAAACTATAAAACTAAAAATTATGACTATTTAATAGAAACGTAACAATTATGATAAGCATTATATAGGCTAATAGTTACTGAGGGGGGTAATGTTTTATTAATATATTGTTCTACACTATACTCTATAAATGTACCTGTATTGCGGTGACTTATTAAAGAGCAATTCCTTTCGCAGGTTCATGTTTTTTGAGGTTCTACCCACAAACTTTTTCGAATATTACCACTTAATTCAGGCTCCCATAATATTCCTTATTTATCTCCGACCTTATTTTCTTTAGATTATTTTCACTCAAATTACCCGTAGGGTAAGTTATAGTAATCGCAAAAAATCGAAATTGAAAATGAAATTATATATCGTTACGTTTCCTGAACATTTTGACATACCTTAGAAAAAATGGATGTATGTGTGTGTGTTGGAATACAAATTTTTGTCGACGATTTTGAGAGCACGGTTTGACCGATTTGAACGATTCAAAAAACATTCGATTCGTCTTGATAAGGAGACGTGCTGATTAGTTTTTGAAGAAGGCAGTTCGAGTCGTCAATCATTCAAAAAACATTTTACTTTTATTGATAAAATGAAGAACTGATTAAATTTTTGGGAAAGCAGGTTTAGCGATTTCAGAGATCGAGTAAAAAGCCATTTAGCGGTCAAAAATGATCTTTAAATATACGTACATCAAATTCTCACATATTTTATGGAGATTTTAATAATAAGTATAAATTTTGTTTGCAGTTCTATGGGTTACGTAACATTGTTTATCCGCTCGACTGCGACGCGGCGCTTATGCGCTTCGATATTTTGTCTCTACGCAGCTAAAGCAGCACGATTACTTTGAAAAAAAGTTCAAAATTTCAATATCATTCAAATTTATTTCAAATATTTCAAAATATAATAAAAATATTTTTTTTAAAAGTCAATTTTCATCAAACCTCAATCAGAACTTTCGCTCGTATTTAAATGATAACCCACCTGCTAACCCAGAGATTTTCAACCTTTCGTACCGCACCTTCTTGTTTTTTTTAAAAAAATATTGCAGGTGGCTCGTCCCAGTGCTGAAAATAGACTTAACCTATCTATATTTTAATAATTTATTATTATAATTAATCTAATATTGATTATGTATTATTTTATTAGATGCACAATGCTCGCCAAGAGTCTTTTTCACTTGGAAACATATTTTAGGGTACCGATTCTGCCGCATAACAGAAAAATGTTATGGGTAAGCCATGTTACTCTTCAACTTGCATACATTATGCTACTGAATCATACTGAATACTGTCAAAAATGTCATG